TTCGTTCTGGTGTGGGGCAGTGGGTTAGTTTACCTGTAGAGCAAGCAGATGCTCCACTGCAGGACCAGGATCTGTGCTGTTCTGTATTTGCTGGGGGTGGAGCTGCATTTATTGAAGTATTGCATTCATTGCTGAGATCCAGCTGGGAGACAGTTGGTGCATGTGGGGCTGCAAGGATTCTCTTTCTGATGAGGAAACGAGCTCGAGCTGGGAACTGACTGCCCCCGAGTGAGCAAGCTGAAAAACCCAGGGAGGGTTGGTAAACACCAAGCTGAACGTGAACCAGCAGTGTGCCCTGGCAGCAAAGGCAGCCAAGGGGATTATCTTGGGCTATACGAACAGGAGCAATGCCCGTGCAAGGGATGTGATTATCCCCCTCTGCTCAGCACTCCTTTGACCACACCTAGGTACTGCATCCAGTTTTCCATCCCCCAATAAAGGAAAGCCAATTTAGAAACTGGAAGAAGTTCAGTGGAGGGCCGCCAAGATGGTTAGGATGCTGGAGCATTTGCCGTTTGAGGAGAGGCTGAGGGCGCTGGCTTCTTCAACCTTAGAGAAGAGAGGATTTTGGGAGGGCCTATTGGCAGAAGCTCCCCAGTAGCTACAAGGAGGTCATCAAGAAGATGGAGCCAGGTTCTTCTAATGGTACATGGCAGGAGGATGAAAGAATGGACGTAAGTTGTAACAACAGAGGGTCAGACTGGATTTACAGAGAAACTTTTTCCCCAGGAGGACAGCCAAGCGGCAGAACAGGCTGCCTGGGGAAGTTCTGCGGTCTCCATCCTTAGAGGTTTTCAAGATGTGCCTGGCTAAAGCCCTGAGTAACCTGTTCTAACCCGGTAGGTGACTGCTGTGAGCAGGAGGCTACACTGGAGACTTTCTGAATTATCCTGTGCTCCTAAGGTCAGGACTGTTTGAAGGTCAGGAGAGACGGCACGCAGTTTTCTCTGCAGGGCAGATATTCCAGTAACTGTTCACAGGCAAGCCTTGAACAAAATTGCTGGTTTTGCGGGTTGTTATAATTACTCTGCCCTGTATCAACCTCTCTGTATGCTCCAGGCTCTGACTTACCAGTTCTGAGGAGACAGCCTATTTCTAATATCTTTTCCTCTTCCCACTGAATGGCTTTCTACTCACATGTCAATCACCTTTTCTGCCAGTGGCTAGCTGAGAGGTAGCACAGCTCTTAGCACTTGGCAGATGATGTGAGGTGGGCTCTTCAGAGCCAAACGCCAGACTTGGCCAACGTTTTGGAAGAAATGATTGCAGGTCCCACTTTGAGTTCGCTTTTCCATACTGATTTATTACCAAAAGGATCACTGGATTGTGTAAAAGGGAATATTGGATGGACGTGGCATTGGGTCTGTGTGAAGTGTTACTCCTAGACACAGTGCTGAGAGCTGGTACCCCAAAACTGGAAAAGATTATGGAAAAACATAAAGAATTTGGGGGTTGGGTGGGAGAACCAAAACATTTTTGTGTAACTTGTTTATGATTTGTGTAGGTAAGATTATTTCTTTTGGGCTCACCTTCTAATCAAGTAAGCAAAGGTAGTATTTGCTACTGGCTGCTACTGGCATTAGATAAATTCAACTACATCGTAAAGCAGTTCTGTACCACCAGGACTAATTATTCCTGAGGGTATCTCAGCTTGAGGTATGGTAGGCTCTTTACTGCTTGTATTGAGGGTGAGGCACTTTCTGGCTCAGTCAGAAGCTGTTGGGTTCGGTGCTAGAAACAGAAACCCTCCTGCGTGATGCCAAAGCCTATACTTTCTTATCTTAGAGCCTTACTTAGCTTTAAAAAGTAAGAATTCTTGGCCTAGTCATAGCTCTCTTGAGTGCCTTTACACAGCTCACTCATACTGTATCTACCCACAAAGTTTTAATTGATTTAGCTAAATGTATCATTTAATGAATTTAAATGCGTGGGAGAAGTGCTGTCAGTACTTTAACATGATTATAGGCTAACAAAGTTAGCAACTAAGGTGCACTAATGCTTAAACTGGGAAAAAGAGGAACATAGCACCTAGGAGAAAAGAAGAGGCTTGCAGCAAGATTGTTAGGAAGGCGGTCATTAACAATGACATTTTGTCTTTTCATGATTTTCTACTATTATTGCAAAACTACATTTTTAAGAGAAAGTGTTCTGGTCTCCCTATGACCTGATGACTGGTCTCCCATCTCCTGATGACACACAAATCTGGCAGGTAGAAAGGTATTCCTTCCCTGGGGGCACGAGCATCTTTAAAAGCAGAGTGCTGAGCCATCCCAAGTGCCTAAGTCCTTAGGCGTTGTCCTGGGGAGCCCTAGGAGGCGATGTCTGAGGTGAGGAGGTTCCTACTAGTCATAGACAGACACCGGGGGCTTCACGCATGGTGCGGAGCACACCCAGACGCAGAGGGAGCATGCCACAAACTCCACGCTGAGAATGCTGTGCGTGAATTGTAAAACTGTTTGCAGAGTGTTTGGGCCGTAATTCTTTTTTCTCCTGCCTTCTCAGGTGCACTGGACCAAAGAGGAGAATTACATGTTCAGGCTGTCGGTGTTTCGGGATCCGTTGCGGAAGTGGCTCTGGGACAACCCCCGTGCCATTTCCCCTGAGCCTTTCTACCAGCGCGTGCTCCACTGGCTGGAAGAGGACTTGCCGGACTTGTCCGTCTCTCGTGAGAGAAGCCGGCTGCAGTGGGGTATCCCTGTCCCCAGTGACTCGACACAAACTATTTATGTATGGGTGGATGCCTTGGTGAACTATCTGAGCGTGGTGGGCTACCCCGAGACGCACGGTGAGTGGTGGCCAGCTGCGCACCACGTTGTCGGCAAGGACATCCTCAAGTTTCATGCTATCTACTGGCCAGCACTGCTGATGGCAGCGGGGCTGGCCCCCCCTGAGCGAATCTTCGTGCACTCCCACTGGACTGTTGCGGGACAGAAGATGTCCAAAAGCCTGGGCAATGTGATTGACCCCTTTGCTTGTATTGGACAGTACACCGTAGATGGATTTCGGTACTTCCTGCTAAGGCAGGGTGTACCGGAGCGGGATTGTGACTATTATGATGAGAAGGTGGTTAAGCTAGTGAATTCAGAGCTGGCAGATGCACTTGGGGGGCTTCTGAATCGATCAACAGCCCTCAGCATTAACCCCAGCAACACTTACCCTTGTTTCTCTGAGTCTTGTTTTCCAAAGGTCTTGGATTACAGGGAGACAAAAGGCACGGGCAGGGCTTCTGCTGAAGACTATGAGTTTGTGGCATCTGTTGCTTCTCTGCCTCTGCAGGTGGCTAGTTATTTTGAAGGTTTCCAGATCTACAAGGCTTTAGAATGTATCGCCCTGTGCGTAAGGCAGACCAATGGTTTCTTCCAGAGACACAGGCCTTGGAAACTCGACCGAAAAGACCCTGCAGACCAGCTCTGGCTTGACACCATCATCCACGTTACGCTGGAATGCCTGCGTGTCTACGGGACTCTCCTGCAGCCTGTGATCCCACACACTGCAGACAAGTTGCTTTCCAGGCTGGCTGTTGAGCCAGAAGAGAGAGGTCTCTCAAGTTTGATGTTTCTGCCACGCTACAATGGGAAGCCGTGTCCCTTTGAAGGGAGACAGCTTGGGCCTGACACCGGCGTCTTGTTTCACAGACTAGAGAAGTCCAGACAGCATCAGAGAGAAACCAAGAAGCTCTAGTCTCTGACAAACAGCTACCGTAAATAAAAGTCTCCGGGAGGTCCTGGAAAATGTTGTCTCTGTTAAAAGCACGTTCCTCCCATCTCTTGATGGTGGTTCAGGGGGAACGAGTGGAAAACTGGACTGAGCAGGGCTGTGCTGTCCTGCCTAGGTGACTGGTGTAGGCCTCTGCCTGCCGTGGGAAGCAGACACGCTCAGACAGATTGGTTGCGTGAGTGCAGCTAAGAGCTAGGAAAGCTTCTCAGGTAACACCCTTGAAGGAACAGCTAATTAGCTAAGTTGCTAACAGAATGAACTGGAGACACAGCCTAGGGTTTGACTACTGCTGCTTTTTTTCCCTGATGTATTTTATGAAACAGAAAAAGCAGCTGAGGCAAATACTTACCTTCTTAAAATGGTGAACTCTTCCTGTACAATCTTGGGGCTCCACTAGAGAGCCCTTTGCTTGTGCCTCTTATCTTCCTTCCTGGCCTCTTTACCTGGTCTGTTCTGATGTGTGGAGCGGGTCAGGTGCTCTGCTGAGGACATTTTAAACATGAATGTGGCAGCCAGTCTGCTCAGCAATCTCTTCCAGAGACAGCAACTCCCCAACTTGCTCTTGCTCACTCGCTCCAGGAATCCCTCCTCAGGCTAGCATTTGGGCTGAGTCTCCAGGAGGATCAAGCTACCTCTGAGGAAAGAAAGGGTCTTTCCTAGGGCCTTCTCGGCATTGTGTCTACTCAGGCAGGGAGAGGGTGGGCGGCAGTTCTGCAGCCGGTGTCCTCCTCCACTTGGCCCCGTGGGTTTTTGGCCAGGCCAGAAGTAGCTGGGGGTACTCAGAAATGGTTTCCTGGTAACATCTCTGGGATGTAGTCCAAATGGATCTGTTGGGTCCATCAGCTGAGCTTCCTTTCTGGGCCAGAACCTCGCTTTGGCTGAGCCTTGATGGGGAGGATCCCTTCTGTGTGACTCTGTTCTTTATTCTGGAGGCAGCCCAGTGAGACAGGGTGGTTCACTGGTCAAACAGGTGGTCTCTCACAGCTGCATAGACCTGCAGACATGACCAAAATTAGAAAGGGGGGATGTGTTTCAGGCAGAGAATCAACTTTATGAGGCTTTCCTGCGTGCTACGTCGTTTATTGCACCCTCTTTGTTTCATTTCAGTGCTGCTGGAAGCAGGCAGCTGAGCACTGATACCCTGGGGCAGTTGTGGCCGTGTGGGGACCTCTGGTAAATCCATCCCAGCATTTGGCTCCTCCGGTTCCCATCAAGTGGCTGCGCTGCAGGAGTCTTCTTGTATCAGGGGCCAATTTTAGGGGGCTGTGATCTCTTTTGGAGCTGCCTGGGCTGTGTTACCAGGGGCAGCTGGAGCAGCGCAGCCCCCTCAGAGCACTGTGGGTCTCTGTGGATGCCGCAGAGGGAAGGGCAGACCATGCTGCTTCCCCTTCGTGTTGTCCTTGTGGTTCTCTGTGATGCCCTCCCCGTGCCGCAGGACGCTGTCCGGCCTAATTTGGATTACCCATGAGAAGAAATCCAGGTCCCCTCAGCCCCCTCCTCTTCCCCTGTGCAGTTTTTCCTGGTACCCCTCACTCCTGCCATCCCTGTGTGTGTGTTCCACGCTGCAAGACCTCTCTGCCCTCATGCCATGAGTGCTGGTTCCCAGGACGGGCAGGGGCGCCTGCTGCCCTGCTCCACCCACGAGAGACCCCATCCCCTTCCCTATCACCTCTGGTGCTGGTGGGAGTGCCAC